CTTTCCCTCTCTATCCTTTCTGTACAGCTTATAACCCTCAATGTGTACCGCCCAGTCGTGGGAAGGATCCCACCAGGTTTCTGTTAGCCCTACTAAGTCATAGGTGTTTTCTGCAAGCAGGAGCGCTAGTTCATCCTGCTTGTTCCCCATGCTCCTACCGTTACTGTATAGGCACTTGATCCCTGTGACTGGCGCCTTTGTTGCCCCCCGGCTCTGATGCCCAAAGGGCCCCTTATTGCTTACCTGCTTATTGCTTACCTGTGGTGTACTGCTGGCCGCTACATGGATTGCAGGTTCCCGATGTTCTCCTTCTTCAGGCTGGGCTGTCCTTGTGGGTGCCACATGGTTTGGCGGTCCACGGTTCCCCTGCCCTCATCATCTCCTCCCCACAACGAGCCTAGTTTAAAGCCCGCCGGAGGAGATCCGCCAACCTAGAAGAGAACACACGCTTACCTTTGGGGGACACACGCTTACCTTTGGGGAGAGGAGCTGGGCAGGGTTATTTTGCCTCAAGTGCCACAACTTGCCCCACACTGAAGTGCATGTCTGGGCACGTGTGCTGAGGAAAAAATCCTCGGGTCAAATTTGTGTTGCTCCTATTTGAGCTGCTGCAAGCACACATGCCTGCATGTGTGGATGAGCCTTAAGGTGCCACCCTGCCCTCCCCTGCCTTATATCTTATAGTGATATATTTAATAAATTCTATTTCATTTATCCAAGATAAGGTTAAAGATGACTTAATCACAGTCTACAAGTCCCTGCTTGGTAGAAGGATTTATGATTCTTGACAGCTCGAGAGTCTAGCTGAATATGAATAGTGCAGCTAAGCGGTTCCCAAACCTTGACAGATTGTGCACCACAAATTTAAAATGATACAACCTTAAGTACCAACAGCAATTTTTTCAGTTCAACCTTAAGTACCACCAGCACATTTTTGTCATATAAAGTAATTATAATAAATCTGTTAATGGATACCACTTATAGGTTCTCTGCCTACCACTGGTGGTACCCGTACTACAGATTGGGAACTGCTGGTCTAGCTGAAAAAGGCATAGCAAGAGCCAGTGGAAATAACACACAGATTTTCAATAAGAAAGGCAAGATATAACTGGAATAGTTTGTGGTGGATTCTCTATCACATGCAACTTTCTACAAGATATTATATAGTTTAAATTGAAGGTATGGGATGGGTGCAAATTTGAAATGGTTAATTCTGTGATCTGAATTGTGCCAGAGGTCTGATTGGATGATCCTAATAGTCCTTCTAGCCTTAAAAACTTCAGGTACATGAACTAGTTCTCTTTTTGTTTGGGAATTAGCCCAGTCTCTTGAGTCTTCCTTTGTAATTGAAATTGCTGAAATGTGGTATCATATTTGAGTTGTCTCCAAGTCAGCAGGCTCATTTTTGGGGTATAGTGATCATGATTACATACAGTATTTGAGTAATGAGTTTGGAGGGCTTGAAATTCAGTTCTGCTGAAATTGAACTGCAAAGTGAGATATTATAACTACATCAATCAAAGATCTGAAAGGTATTTCTGCTGAAAATAAAATACCAGTGTAGGAGAAAAATATTTAGTAACTGTGGCCTATTTTAGACCTTGAAAGCAGAGAGTGAAAATACACAAACATTTCCCCTGGATCTCACACACACATGCACACACGGCATAAAAAGCAATACAAGGTAATACGTTTCAGTATGTGAAGGAATAATGTGATTATGTGCTGATGTGAGAAATATTAAAAGGTATTAGTAATACTTTTAGTAGTAATCATAATTCCTAGCTTTTCCATAGAACTTTTTTAATCTGTATTTTTCAAAACTCTTTACAAAGGTGCTTACCTTCATCACCCTAGTTTTCAATATTACAATTAATACCATAATTAATAAACTAATACTAATAATCAGCCTTATGTTATTAGTGGCCCCACAAAGCACATAGACTCAAATTTTGCCTTCACTTAAAGCTAGGTAACTCTGGACTACAGAGGATTGCATAGATATAACTGACCACAGAATGTATATTGACATTTCTGTGCTTCAGCTGTGGTAATGGTGTGCTTTATAGGAGGTAACCCTGTATGTGAGTCTCACTAGAAAGCACTTTTTCACCTGTTTGGCACTTACATGATATCTGTTTTCCTTTATCTTTCAAACCAACCTAAATACATTATTAATCACTTACTTTTTATCATTATCGTTATTAACAAAATAGCTAATTAGCTGAAGAAAGAGCTTATTATTTTTATATGTTTGGATAATATTGGATGAAATGTCGTGTTTCAGATTGTTATTTCTGCATAACTTTGATCAGGGAAAAAAGAATTACTCCTTTTTCTGCATTGTTTCCCATAGGGTGCAGCTTTAATTCGAATGTTGGCTAATTTTATGGGTCACTCGGTGTTTCAGATGGGCTTACAAGTAAGTAGAAAGATATCTGTCTTTTTTACATGCATCTGTTCCAGATTATTTCTTCCTTTTTTTAATTTGCATGTATTTCTGCCAGTGTTACTCTTTTTAAATATCTCAAATGTTGAGGCAGCAGATCTCAAATGTTAAGACAACAGCATGTCCCTGAAGCTGAATTTAATAGAAAACGCTAAGTTGTATAACACAAAAACCATCATTCTAGTAAATGAAAGCTGCATGTACAATTCTTAGTGTGTCAAATGATTGCACTTTAACTGCCATGCAGTTTTACTTCCATTTATTGTACATCACCAAATAGAAGTAATTTTCAGATGTTCAAAAACCTGTGCAAGGCCTTCATTGAAAGAGCTTGCCAAGAAAAAAGTTACTTTGCTTCCATTACATTTAAATTTGGATATAAAAATAAAAATGAATGATATTAATCCCACTAGAACATGTGCAGCTGTGAGGCTAATTATTTTTTTTCCAAATAAATATGTTTTCCCTTCTTTTCCCTTACCCCACACAACACATCAAAACCCTTGAGCTTTATTTTTACCTTTGCTGAACATGGAGTGCTCTTTGCTTAATGTTGTTTTGAAAACTCATTTTGTCTTTTTAAAAGACATTTTAAAAAAGTAATATTTCTGCGTAAAGAGAGAAATTCACAGTGCTGACTGTCAAGGATGGACTCTCTTAAACAATAATGCAGGGCAAATGAATGTTTTGTCAACTACTTTAAAACAACCCAAAATAGAAAGAAAAAAAACCAAACCAACAGTACAATCCCTTTATTCTATTGAAATCTGTTTGAGTAAATCATGTTACAGGCAGCTGTGATTGATGAATTATGTATGATTCAGTCTGCTACTTAGAAGTGTCCTTTAAAGTAAATTGATGTTCACCTGAAATACAATTATGCTAAGATGGAAAGAGCAATCAATCTTATCTGTTCTTAGTAAGCTTTTCATTTTGAAATTTAAATAAACTACATCTGGGATCAGGTCATATTTTAACACAGTAATTTTACCTCCAAGCAAAATGGATTTAAAGATAAAATATAAAACAAAAATTATATAAATACTCTGGTTATGTCATATAAAGGTGTATTTAGTGTTATAGGCAGCGAAATGAATCCCTAGAGGAATTGTAGCTTTTCTGAAAAGTTTGTAGGACTTGGTGCAATCAAGGTTGGAAGATTACTGGTTCACTGGAGCCTATAAGCTTCTTTCCTTAGGTATAATATCAAACCAAGTCATTTGGGCTTATCGTCTAACACAGATAATTGTTCTTCACCTGGAACATTTCCCTGAACAAACCAACATGTATACAAGATGAAATCCTGAACCAGTTTCAGGCATTGGGTCTTTTGCCACTGACTTTAGTGGTCCCAGGATTTTATCTAGAAACCTTCTTCCATTCAGATCTGTTCATAGAAAAATCTAGTGTTATACTATTGACATTTAAAGGTTTCCCCACAATGAATTTGATTTCCTCTCAAACTTTCTTACATCAAACCTTTTAAATACTAGAATTATATAGTAAAAATGTACCTGCAGCATCCGTGATAAAAAAACCAAAGCAGTAGTGATGAAGAGTATAAATAGCTTTAATTTCCATGTCTTATTTCTTTCAGAAAAATGTATTCTCATGTACATCTTTTGGTGTTTGGTTTACTTTGTTTTTGCACAGACACCATTATCTCTCAAAAATTGTATAATTGGATTCTTTCCCAAAATATTTTGAAAGCAGTAATGAATTATTTCAATATGTTACTAAGTCAAATAAATTCAAGCCAAAGCCTGATGTTCTGTAAAAGCTTATGTGGAGATTAGAATATCATAATTATTACGAAGTTGTAACAAAAGCCTGGTTACAACTGTAACCAGCCATCAAGTAGCTTCCTCATTCTTCTGTTCCTCACCAATTTTGTTGTAAATAAAAACTGTTTTGTCTGCTAATGATAGTTTGGAAAGCCTCTGGGCCTAAAGAAACAAGAGAACAAAGAAACATAATTTTACTGGTGAAAAATAATCCTAAACTCATCATCTTATAAAACCACATGTGCTGTCTAGACTCCAGAAGGAAATTATACACCTTTTGTTTGTGTGCGAGTAGGCTGAAGTGCAAGAGATGCTTGCTTATCAGGGCTTCTGAGAACAGGGGAATATAGGGGTGCAGTTGCATTGAACCTTCAAAATTGAGAGGCCTTGAAAATTATGAGAATTTTCTTTTTTGATAGACATTAAAATGTAATGAGTAAAATAATTGTAAGTAGCAGGTGTACAAGTAAAGTCAAAGTATGAACTAATGAATTCAGTTTTGAATTCAAACAGAATTATTCTATTTCCTGTTTCTAAAATGGGAGGTGTTCCCCACTAGGATGGAGCAGGCCTCTGAATTCTTTGTGTTGTTGTTCATGTTGATGATGTGCATATTCTGAGTGAATGCGAGTGAATGATTTGTGTCTTCGTAGTTCACAGACACAGCAAGATATATTCCCTTATTGTTGTACAATTAAAAGATTGGCTCTAGTTCCATCTACATGGAGGAAAGTATGACCCTCAAATTATTCCCTACAATATGCATCACTTTAGGCTCTGTAGTCTCAGTACTGCTACTTGAGATGTAGGCCCATGTTCTTTTCAATGAAATTTTAACATGAATTCTAAGTTTTAACCACATGCCCTTTCTCAAAATAGTGGCAGAAATCAAAATGTTATGGCTCCTATTTATATGGTTCTTTAAACAAATTATTACTCTGATAAAATACTGTTTGATAATCCCTCTTTTGTCTTTTAGCTTTTTCCACTACATTGCTAAATAAAAGTGTTCCAAGGGTTACATGTTACCTGTTTACTTTTCAGTTGCATCCAGTATATTTAATATATTATTTTCATAATTTCTTATCATATTATATAAAGTATGGTGTTGTGTAGATCCCTTTCCTCTTCAGGTAGAGGCAATGAAATCAAAGTACTACAGAATGTAAGTAAGAATGGCAGAATCAGATCTTTAGTTAAGAGAAGATGTTACAAGAATGACAACAAGCTCTCAGGGCAAAGAGAGGGGGAGGTAATACAGTCAAGGGATAAATCTTCTTCTTTTAACCATTTTTCTTTGTCTATCATAAGTCCATATTATTGCCAGATAAGTATTTTTTCCCACAAAATATCTGAAGTAGACTTTTTCCAAAGAAGTCCTTTATGTATCCAAGAAAACAATTAGTTTTGTTAAAACGAATAAGAAAAGAGATGACTATAAAGAAAGGAGAATGGGGCTCTTTGTTAGATGTACGTAAACAATAAATGTAAGCGAAAGCAAATGACAATATAGGGCCCCCAGGAACACTGCTATTCAGCAAATCATTTTTGAGAAGATTGGGAGCGGGTGGAATTACAATAGAATCACAAGGTTTTGCCTCATATGTGTGTTTGAATAGGTTCCTATTTATCGAGAGTAATTTGCCTGTTTCTGGAAATATATTTGTGAAAGACTGTTGGATTTTAACATTGGACCTCCATGACCGAAGTGCATCAGGCATCTGCAAAATGAAAGATATTGTTTTGTGAAGTCTCAAAAATATATGCTGTCTTGGAACTTGTGGTATTTGCAACACAAGGTTTAATAATAGAGACTTAACTTTCTGAGTGTTTCACATTATAGCACCCTGTATACAAAAGAAAAGAAAGAACAAATTTATATTGGATGTGATGAATAACTGAGATTACAATCTATAAATACCCACATTTGTGAGATTCTGTCATGCTAGAAAACTACAGCTATTACTTATCATTTAATCTGCCTTCTTACTTGTAATGTAGAGTTCTTTGTCTCTTCGGAAATTCTTAAGAGCCCCTTTTTTACACACTCCTTAAAGAACCCCACTTTTAAGTGTTCACTAGAAAGGACATAGCTAGAGAAATGCCGTTCTTAAATTAGTAAGAGAGGTTCTATCAGGAGCTCCTTTTCCAAAGATACCCTAATATTGACTGTTCTTTCATGATGCATGAAGGAGTTTGCTCTGGTATATGGGTCTCAATATAGGCTGTGCAGGTTAAATGCTAACCAGTAGCAGCCTCCCTAAAGTATGTGGATATCTTTGTTGATGCCTTTTTCATGAAAAGGCACTAATCAGTTGTACGGATATGAGAATGTGAAAGATTTGGTCATCAGCACTTCCTCTGATTCTTTCTGAAGTATAGAGTAGGAGTAAGAGTAGGAGACCTTGAGTTGGCCTCATTATGCACGATGTTAATATGTGATATAATTTTACATTTGGGGGAGATTTTCATCTGTTCCATCTGGAATAGATTATCTTGCATGGATTGCTGTCAGTGTAATATTATATGTCTTAAAGTTTTGTTGCTATAAACTAGAATACCAAGGTGTATCAGTGACTCTTCATATTAAGTATGGAGTATACACAATGATTTTGAGTTTCAATGTTCAGGTATGTTTAAAAAAGGAATGCACTGGTATCTCCAGCTTTCTCATGAGACCCTCTGGCTCATTTTTTCTTTTTACATTTTACATTTTTCTTATACTTGGTTTGATCATTTTGTAGCCCAATGTATATTACTATATGTTTGTCAACATTACATTTCATTTGCTGCATAGCAGCTCATTGATCATATAGATCTGTATCTTTTTGAAGTTTGCTTGCTGCTGTATTTGTGTTCATCACTCACTCTGATTTAGTGCATCATCAGCAGTTTGAATTAGTTACTGTAGGAACTTCTGTCTCTGTGATAAATTAACAACTTTTGTACTTTAAGCTGTGCACTGTACATCTGGGAGAAGACCTTTCATACAGTTCTTTCAATATACCTTTAATGTCCCAGTGCTGCTGAGTGGTCACTGTATTGAAACTGATAGGTCAACCTTTCACAAGAGTGATTTGGGGAAATGGGGACTGCAAACTTAGAAACAGCAGTGCTAGGCTTCCAGCCATTTTCCACTAACATAAAACCTCCTAGTTGGACTGAGCTCCTTTCATCTGTACTACTTAG